CAAGAAGATGAACTAAAACAATCTCCCGATTTACGTTTAAGAAACATGACGGTGGGACTCACGTCTTTGTCTCTCGAGACCCCACCGAGTTCAACAACATTCAACTTGAACTATAGGTGGCGGATCTTATTACGGAATTATGTTCTTGTAGGATTATTTTACACACGTGGTGTTATTATTACACGTGTGTCTTGTTTTAAACTGCCCAACCCACAAGCCCCCCCCCCCCACCCTCTTTCTCACCTGACCCTAGATAATCGAGAGTTGACTCGTTTATTTTGCCCGTGTCTTCATTAGTTTGTGACCGGAAAATAAAAAGGTAACAAAATGTAAAAGCAATGGATGTGGACCGATTAAAAAAAAAATTCAAACCCCGATCTGAACGGGCAACGATCAAGAATAAAAATCATGTACGGCCTCCTGTGATGCTTCTCGAGATGCCTTTGTGTGGAGGTATTCCGGAAATCTGTCAACCCCTTATCAGACCAATTCAGATCTTATTGGTCACCCCGTTCATCCTACAAAGGTCCATCACAAGGCAGAAACACAAACAAATGGGCTGAACAAATTGGTGCCCGCATTGAATCGGCAGTACGCCCGTACGGACCGGGTGAACCGTATGGGTTGACAGGTATGCATTCGTGAAGGTATTTCTTGGTGGTGTATTCAGTCCGCAGGCCGCTCCGAGGCACTGTTCTCTCCACCCACCCTTGATTCGTCCGGACGTCGCCCTTCCTCGTTGAACGTCGTCCAGTATCGCCCGTCTTCCTCTCCGTCTTTTCCCACAGAATATTCCCTCGATCACCTCCTGCAGATCATTCCCTCTCACCACCACCTGCCCACTCGCCTCCTTCAGCTCACTCCCTCTCGCCAGTCTTTAATTTAATTCGCCATCAAAGCGTTTGGCAGTCTAAGTCATGAGTACACCTTGCCTGCTGATGCCACGTGGATCACAAGCTTCCACATTCGGCGAAGAAAAACACAAATTGTACAACACTGGAAGTATATTCTTGGTTATTTCGGTAGAGTCACGTAGAAGGGAAATAATAAAATAATATAAATATACAACAATATATTATTTTATTATTTCCCTTCTACGTGACTTTACCGAAAGAACCAAGAATATGAATCCCTGCAGTCACGAAAGCTTTATATCAACGCTGGAAGTGTTTGACGAGCCGTGGAGGTGCGATGGAGAGATGAAACGCATGGATCGGAGAACGACGCTAGGGGCATAATGGTGATGACCATGCAGCAGTGGATAGAGCATGGTAGCAATTATTCAAATTGGCCAAACATCCCAATGTAGCGGGTTTCCTGGACATGGCGTGCCATCCTTACGTGGTCGGTACAGCGAGAAGGCTATGGAACGTTCACAGAGTGCATCCTATGGATGGACTGGCCCCTGGCATCGGACTGTGGAATTTCCACCACGGGATATGAGCGCTCGTTGGAAAGAGGAACACTTCCTGTACAGAGACGGTAAAGTGCTAACTTAAACTAAAACCTTTTATTTGACCAGGTAAGGCCCACTGAGCGATGTTGCTCTTTTTAAGAACCGACCTGCCCATCAATGATAGCGCAGCGAAGTGGCTCTTCGTCTTAACGGGGAAATCGGTTGCAGTCAAATACTCGAAACGCGTGATGTGGAATTGAAACGTGGAGGGAAAACCCGGAGGAAACCTGGAGAGAAATCCACGCGACCACGTAGAGAGAGACACGCAAACGCCAAATACACAGCAGCAGGCGTCAGGGTCGGAATATAACCCACGCACTCCTGTATACCTGGCGAGGTACTTAACATATCCTAGCCACTGTGATGATGATGAGAGACACGCAAACTCCAAATATATAGCAGGTGGCAGGGTCGGGATCAAACATACGACTTCTTGTATACCAGGCGAGGTACTTAACATATCCTAGCCACTGTGATGATGATGAGAGAGAGAGACATGCAAACTACAAATATACAGCCGGCTTCAGGGTCGTGATCGAACCAACGACCTCGTGCATACCAGGCGAGGTAGGTAACATCTCGCCTCCTTGACGGTCTAGTTGTGGGCAGTGATGGTAACTTATACCGTGTCAACCCATACGGTTTACCCCGTATTCTTGTACAGGGAAATTGACTTTTCAGGTCCATACGGCGGAAATCCGTTTCAATATGGGCAACATTATTTAGTCTGTTTGTGTTTATCCCTTGTCATGAGACTTTGTAGGATTAACGCTGAGACCAATAAGGTCTGAACTGGTCTGTAATAAGGTAGGGCACTGAGAAGGGGTTGACAGGTATGGTAACTGATGGTGATGATGGTTTATTATTATTGTAAGGGCCGCCGGGTTGGGGTTGAATTCCACGCGCGAGATGATCACGTGAGCGTCGACCACGAGGCGCGTGACGGGCACGTGCCCACCGCATCCCACGTCAGATCTGGGGGACGGGAGGGGGGGGATCATCCAGACAAAGGCTGACTGAAACCTGTGCAAAACAAAGACCATTCTGAGCGCAATTGCTATCGGTGCTGATGTACGGGGGAGACCGGCGAAACTCAATTCGCGTCATTCCCCGTGCGTACAAACAAGAGAGCGTATACAATCGATCTATCGGGGTTAAAAGCACGTCTCGCGCTCACGATCCGTCGCATTTTCCGCAGTTTTAATCGACGCGTCTCGATTCGCATGGAACGCCGCAAAGCCGCGAATTCACGAGACCGCCCGCTAGAGGCCGCTGCGATCCGTCTCGTCTCTCCACTGCGAGGCGAATGCCTCTCACGCCCGTAGGCGCGGGACGTGGGGAGCGATTTGATTTGACCACACTTCAACCACGCTGGTTGGTGAACCTTGGATGGGGGAGCATAGAAGTGCAGTACTACAGTGACAACGACGGATTTGGCTGCACTGCCCACAACGTGACCCCCCCCTCCCATTCATCTACAAGTCACTGACTGTGACGTCTCATCCACACTTCAACTGCATGATGCAGGTCACGCCAACACTCACCAACTCACTCATTCTCTCACCCACTCACCTCGTCACTCACCTCGTCACTCACCCATATACTCAGTAGCCCACTCACTCACTCACCCACTCACCTCTTCACTCACCAATATACTCAGTAGCCCACTCACTCACCCACTCACCTCGTCACTCACCAATATACTCAGTAGCCCACTCACTCATTCTCTTACCCACTCACCTAGTCACTCACCCATATACTCAATAGCCCACTCACTCACCCACATCACTCGTCACTCACCAATATACTCATTAGCCCACCCACTCACTCATTCTTCTCTCACCCACTCCCTAGTACTTCACCATATACTCCATAGCCCACTCACTCACGAACCACTCACCTCGTCACTCACCCTATACTCAGTAGCCCACTCACTCACCCACTCACCCTGTCACTCACCAATATACTCAGTAGCCCACTCACTCACTCATTCACCCACACTTGGACCAAATCATCATCCAATGACTCACCCACTCACCTACTCAACCACTCACTGTCACTCACACCCACTCATCCTGACTCACTCACCCTCTCGCTCAAATACCTACTCACCAACCGACTCAAACTCCCACCCACTGATTGTCTCACTCACACTCACCCACTCACCACACTGCAGTCATCACACCCACTCACACTCACCCACTCACCACACTGCAAGTCACAACACACTCACTCACTCACCCAATCACCAACTCACCCACCTACTCACCACACTGCAAGTGACAACACACTCACTCACTCACCCACCCAATCACCAACTCACCCACCTACTCACCACACTGCAAGTCACAACACACTCACTCACTCACCCAATCACCAACTCACCCACCTACTCACCACACTGCAAGTCACAACACACTCACTCACTCACCCAATCACCAACTCACCCACCTACTCACCACACTGCAAGTGACAACACACTCACTCACCCAACCACCAACTCACCCACCTACTCACCACACTGCAAGGGACAACACACTCACCCAATCACCAACTCACCCACCTACTCACCACACTGCAAGTGACAACACACTCACTCACCCAATCACCAACTCACCCACCTACTCACCACACTGCAAGTCACAACACACTCACCCAATCACCAACTCACCCACCTACTCACCACACTGCAAGTCACAACACACTCACTCACTCACCCAATCACCAACTCACCCACCTACTCACCACACTGCAAGTGACAACACACTCACTCACTCACCCAATCACCAACTCACCCACCTACTCACCACACTGCAAGTGACAACACACTCACTCACTCACTCACCCAATCACCAACTCACCCACCTACTCACCACACCGCATATCACTTCACTCACTCCTCTCTCTCTCTCTCTGCTTATTCCCTTGCACTGCTCCCATCACCACCATCGTCGTCTCTCCCCCCCCCAACCTCTAACCACGACAATAACGTCGGCATCCCTCGCCAGCATTGCGACCACGTTGGTGCTGCTCGTTGCTGGCCGCTCGCCCGCTACATTGGGGATTGCCTGCGCCCAGACTCTGCTTCTTCTTGGTTCTTTCGGTAAAGTCGCGTAGAAGGGAAATAATAAAATAAAAAAAATTCAACATAAAAAAAAATTCTCACGACGTTTCGGCCACAACGCAAGCAGCCGTCCTCAGGTGAAGAACAGGGCTGTCGGAAAGACAGCGTCTGAATGTTCTTCACCTGAGGACGGCTGCTTGCGTTGTGGCCGAAACGTCGTGAGAATTATTTTATTATGTTTTATTTTTATTACTTAATTGTTTTTATTTTTATTATTTTATTATGTTTTATTTTTATCATTTTATTGCTTTTTTATTATTTTATTATTCCCCTTCTACGTGACTTTACCGAAAGAACCAAGAAGATGATTCCCTACAGTCACGAAAGCTTTAAATCGAAAAATTCAGCCTCTGCTTGTTAACAAGAATCGATTCTGGAATCTAAGCCTTTCGAAGGAGCGAGCGATGAAGAGGAATCGAATCGCCATGGGGGGGAGGAAGCAAGTTGAGTCGCCAGCAACAGCAGCAGCGGCGGCGGCAGCGGCAAGTCGTCCCCGACAGTCGCAAGCAACAACTTGAAGTCAACAGCAGTCGACCAAAGCCCTTCATCAAGCCACAGCCGACACTGAAGCGTCTCGTCGCGTGTGTCTCCCGTCTGCGTGGGCCGTCGGGGATGGTTTGGCCATACTTCCCTGCGCTGGTCATTGCAGGGTTGGCTTAAAGAGGGGGGTGGGAAGCAGACCCCAGAAAACCGGTTCGGATATCGCTCTCTCGCTCGCTCTCTCTCTCTCCGTGTTGTCATCCGGGACGCACGTGGTCCGCAGGAATGGCCGAGCGGCTCTTCCCGGAGCTGCAGGGCTGGGTGCTCACGCTCACCCTGTGTCTGGCCTCTGTGGTTGTGGGGGGCACGTCCTCTGTGGTTGTGGGGGGCACGCCCCCCTACAGCCCGGACTGGGAGTCTCTGGACGCCAGGCCGCTGCCGGCGTGGTTCGACGAGGCCAAGGTGGGGGTCTTCCTCCACTGGGGGATCTTCTCCGTACCCAGCTTCGGCAGCGAATGGTTCTGGTGGCACTGGCAGGTGAGCGGGCGTGCACGGGAAGACAAAGGCGGACGGGCGTGGTGCTGGTCATCATCACCTCCACCCCCCCCTTTCTTTCATAGGCGCTCCCTATCAGCACTTGCCCCAACAGTCTGTTGAGGCTATACGTGGAGTCTTTGTCTGTGTGTGTGTGAGCCAGGGTAAGAGCTACATCCAGATGGAAGCAATCAATCTGATGAATAAACTACACAATCTATTTAACACGAACTCTTTCGCGACCAATATCATCCATAATAGAGGGTTTTTTTGGGGTTAGATCGCGTAAATATATAAATGTGTCGTAAAACCCGCCACCACCCGACACGGCCAACTAGTAAGGGTTGTCACGTAAACAGAACGTGGCCAATTCGTTACTCGTACAAATCTGTCTGTCGCCTGGTGAAGCTTGTTGCAGTTACTGCCGAAACGTCGTATTCAGATGGTAAATGTTGTGGTTTGGTTCTCCAACACACCGGTGTACTGTACTAGTATACTACACTATACTGTACACTATACACTACACTATACACTACACTATGCACTACACTATACACTACACTATACACGAGTGCTGTACTGGTGACGAATTGGCCACGTTCTGTTGACGTGACAACCCTTACTAGTTGGTTGTGTCGGGTGGGGGCGGGTTTAACGACACATTTATATATTAATGTGAACTAACCCCAAAAAACCTGTATTATAAATGATAATCGACTACATGTTATTCATTTAATTCATCAATCACTTGCTGGCTAAATTTACCACGCGATGCAAACGAGATCCGAGCGTTTGAACCAAAAAATATCGGAAAATTGTCCTTTAAAAAAAAAATCTCCGAAAGGTGAAACGTTTAAAAAACCCTATACCCCCCGTGCGCATCCGTGTGTCGCCAGGGGGATCGAACTCCCGAATACGTGGACTTCATGAAGAGGAACTACCCCCCCGACTTCCAGTACGCAGACTTCGCCCCGCAGTTCCGCGCCGAGTTCTTTGACGCTGGCGAGTGGGCTGACCTCTTCCTGGCCGCCGGGGTCAAGTATGGGCGCACACTCCCCTCCACGCACTCTCCTACCTCCCTCATCTCACTCTACTCACCTCCAGACACTCTCCTGCCTCTCTCCTCTCATCTCACTCCACTCCCCTCCACGCACTCTCCTACCTCTTCCCCCTGATCTCGCTCCACTCCACTTACTCTCCTACCTCTCCCATCTCATCTCACTCCCCTCCATGGACTCCCCTACCTCACCTCTCTCTTAATTCTACTCCAGCACCCAAGAGTTTCAGTCGAAGCCCTCATTCAACCTTCACTCTGGAGGTCACCCATTCGTCCCTGCTTTCCTCGTAGTTTGGATCTCCCTTCCCCAGCCATCTGTGCTGCAGACTTCCTGCTCCTGTTCAGATCCAGGCTCCAGACCTGTGTTATTTCCTCTGCCTGTGACTGACTGCTTCTCTCAATACGCTGAATATGCCTTCTGAGTCTGTACATAATATCTAACGTATGCAATTGCATTTAGATGCCATATAAATCCATATTGCATTGTGAAATGTTTGAAACACAATGGACTCTTACACAAAATAAGTGATTCAATGTAACTTTACGTCTGTTTAAGCCGATTGTGCGACTGGCGTCATGTGAGAGATACATCATCCATTCGAAAATGTCACGCAGAGCAGTGCGACCCTTTGAGGTTAGAGAGCGGCCCCACAGAAGCGGATACTGCAGAACTACCCCTCGAGAGCCCTGCAAGTAACCCCTGGTCCACAGTCAGTGTGGGGCAGCACTTTCCCCACGGCTCTACCCGTGGGAGTGATGTTCGTCGCGTGGCAGTCAAGCCCTTACATTTAATTTTCAGAGCTGGAATTTAGCCAAGTTAAGCGCGGAACCGAATTTAACGCGACCATGTTTTTTTTACGTGCACTACAAATGAGAATGCAGTTCCATGAATAGGCAGCTACCTGGAGTCGAACTCAGGCGCACCGAGCGACCCGGCCCCCACCTCCGTGTTCCCGTCTCGCCGTGAGCACGCAGTTGACACGTGGCCCGTCCGTGACCTGCAGTCTGTACGAACCCTCCACGTGTAAATGATTACTCACGAGCAGTCGTCACACGTGGACCGTTCTCCCGACACGGCTTGCCGTGAAGTCTGTGCGCACACGTGATCTTCCGTTCTTACGTGACCCACCTTCCTTCCAAGTCTCGCTTACCCATCGCATTTATAAGGTATATGTTGGAATGCCTGCGCACGCGACAATGCAATTTGTTCAATCTTGACTTAAAATTTTCGTGACTGCAGGAGTTAATATTATTTGGGTCTTTCAGTAAAGTCAGATAGATAGGTTCAAATTAATAAAAAATAAACCTATCTAAAATAAACCTATCTGAAATTTAACCTATCTCGGTGACTTTACCGAAAGACCCAAAGAACATGCAATTTGTTCAGCTGGGTTGTTGGTGGCGGCTCTTCACAACACAAACTTAGCCAAACCCAAAACATCAATTACGAGCCGTAATAATATCACGGTCAAAAGTTCACTTCTGGGATGAACTCACCCCACGGTTGTTTGCTCCTCCTACCCCCCTCCATCCCATGCACCCCCCCCCACTTCCCCTCCCCCACCCACCAGGTACGTGGTGCTCACGGCCAAACACCACGAGGGATTCACCAACTGGCCGTCCAACTTCTCGTGGAACTGGAACTCGATGGACGTGGGGCCTCGCCGTGACCTGGTCGGAGAGCTGGCCGCCGCCGTGCGGAAACGGTGCGTGGGGCGCGGCGGCCCCTGCGGCCCTCGTGGAGGGGCCGCCCTGAGGGGGCCTCCGTGTCTGTGGCTGGGTGCGTGTCTGTGGCTGGGTGCGTGTCTGTGGCTGGGTCCGTGTCTGTGGCTGGGTCCGTGACTGTGGCTGGGTCCGTGTCTGTGGCTGGGTGCGTGTCTGTGGCTGGGTGCGTGTCTGTGGCTGGGTGCGTGTCTGTGGCTGGGTGCGTGTCTGTGGCTGGGTCTGTGTCTGTCGCTGCGTCCGTGTCTTTTGCTGGGTCCGTGTTTGTCGCATTCGTCGCTCCGTACGCGTGCCAATTGCGACGTGATGCCAAACCCATTGTTGCATGCAACGGAAGCGAGATGCAAACCGCGGCGGGTAAAACGACGCGAATGCGGCACAGTCGCGGCCGTTTGCCAAAGTGTCTGCAGGTCACGGGCCGAGGCGTCGGGCATCGTGCCGAACGACGCATGGCACGACCAGAACAACACCGACGAACTGTAAGCGGTGGATAATCGTGGGATTGGTGCGGTGGTGGCGGTGAGGGTGGTGCTGATGAGTGGTGTTGACCTCGCTGTGTCTCTCCGGCTGTGCAGAGGCATCCACTTTGGGCTGTACCACTCGCTCTACGAGTGGTTCCACCCGCTCTATCTCAAGGACAAGGAGAGCGGCTTCAAGACGCAGTCCTTCGTGATGCAGAAGACGATGCCGGAGCTGTACGAGATCGTGAACAAGTACGGCTCGCTCGCTCGCTCCCTTCCTCGCTCGCTCGCTCCCTTCCTCGCTCGCTCGCTCCCTTCCTCGCTCGCTCGCTCCCTTCCTCGCTCGCTCGCTCGCTCACACGGAGAGGGTGGGAAAGTTCCTCCCCACAACCTCGTGGAGCAGATGTCACTTGCAAGGGTCTCGGAGGTAGCTCCGCAGTGTCCGCTTCTGTGGGCCGTTCTCTAACACGGTGACTGGCACTGCCGTGCGTGATAAGCGACTGGGGGTGGTGTGACGCTGGTAGCGCGCGCACACAATTGTGGGGCCACGACAACACGATTCCACTAATCAGGCCGAGGCTGCAAAGGCCCAGCGCAGTCAGTAGCCTCACCCTCCCTTGCTGTGTGACGTCCTACACAGTTATGGTTCGTGATCCCCCACGACCCCCCTGCCTTGAGACCTCAAAATGTCTTTATTTATCGGTATTTACCAGAGAAAATGCGTGGACTGTTTTTTATGTTGATGTCGGGTCCTGCTTAAGCTAAATAATCCTGAGAGTTTTGGGACCCTGAGAGACCTCAGGAGACCTTGAGAGAGAAGAGAGAGAGAGAGCTCGTGTTTCCCCTCGCCGCTGCTGCTGTTGCTGCTGCTGTTGTTGTTGCTGCTGCTGCTGTTGCTGCTGCTGTTGCAGGTACGAGCCGGAGGTGATCTGGTCGGACGGGGACTGGGAGGCCCCCGACACGTACTGGAACTCAACCGGGTTCCTCGCGTGGCTCTACAATGACAGCCCCGTCAAGGTGCCCACCGCCACCGCCGCCAGCTTTCACCGCCACCACCACTGCCACCACCACTACCACCACCATCACCACCACCAATACCACCACCAATACCACCACCAATACTACCACCGCCACCACCACCGTCACCACCACCACCACTACCACCACTACCACCACTGCCACCACTGCCACCACCATCACCACCACCAATACCACCACTAATACCACCACCACCACCGTCACCACCACCGCCGCCAGCATCACCGCCACCACCATCGTCACCACCACTACCACCACTGCCACCACCATCACCACCACCAATACCACCACCGCTGTGGATAGACGATGGCTGCTGCTAATGGTTGATGATGATGGATGAAGATTATGATTGGTGATGATCTTCGTTCACAATATATTCTGTCTCTCTGTCCCTCCTCCCTGTGCCCAATCCCAGTTTTCGATCCCACTCCCACCTTAGGCCCCTACCACTTGAATAAACTTCCCCTGTGCATTTAGCAACACTGCCCATAGACTCCTCAATACTGCACCATAGACTCAACACTGCCCATAGACTCAACACTGCCCATAGACTCAACACTGCACCATAGACTCAACACTGCCCATAGACTCAACACTGCACCATAGACTCAACGCTGACCATAGACTAAACACTGCACCATAGACTCAACACTGCCCATAGACATAACACTGCACCATAGACTCAACGCTGACCATAGACTCAACACTGCACCATAGACTCAACACTGCACCATAGACTCAACGCTGACCATAGACTAAACACTGCACCATAGACTCAACACTGCACCATAGACTCAACACTACCCATAGACTCAACACTGCCCATAGACATAACACTGCACCATAGACTCAACACTGCCCATAGACTCAACACTGCACCATAGACTCAACGCTGACCATAGACTCAACACTGCACCATAGACTCAACACTGCCCATAGACGCAACACTGCCCATAGACTCCTCAACACTGCCCATAGACTCAGCACTACCCCTGCACATTAAGCAGTCTCCCTTATTGACCTCCCTTCATTCCTCTCTCAAAGCCTCACCACGCGTTCTCCCCGTCGCCCATTCCCTTCCTCTTCCCTCGCCCCTCCACTCCGTCCCTCCCCTGTAGCCCTTTCGTGACCGACCACGTGCCCTCTGTCAGGGTCACTCATTCCTTGGCCCTTAATGTTCAATAATTTTGTGTTCCCGCTATTAAACCCTGTTAGAGACAGCGCCTTGAGTTCAGAGGCGCGCTCTATAAATATGAAGTAAGACGAGGACTGACGTGTGGGTGGGTGCGTGCGTGCGTGCGCACGGCGCCATTCAGGACACAGTGGTGGTGAACGACCGCTGGGGTGCCGGCACGTCGTGCCACCACGGCGGCTTCTACAACTGCGCCGACAAGTTTGCGCCGGGCACGCTGCAGCGGCACAAGTGGGAGATGTGCACCTCGGTGGACACGCGCTCCTGGGGCTACCGCCGGAACATGCGCGCCGCCGATCTCCTCTCTGGCCGCGACATCGTCGCGGTGAGCCTTCGTCGCCGCCGCCACCGCCATCGTTATCGTCGTCGTTGTCATCGTTGTCATCATCGTTGCTGTTGTTTTCCACCGGCATCATTGTAGTCGTCGTCGCTGTTATCCTCGTCACCGTTATCATCATTGTTGTCATCGTGTCGTCTTCGTTATCGCTGTCGTCGTCGTCATCTTCAATGTCGACATCATCTTTATCAACATCATCATTGCCATCGGTTTCATTGTCATCATCATAAGCATCGTTGTCATCGTCATTATCGTCAGCCATCATCCATCCGAGTCTCCCCGGCGTAAAGGAGGGCGGCTCCCCCCCCCCCCCCCCCCGTCGTTCACCACAGGGCCTGCTGGAGACTGTGAGCTGCGGCGGCAACTACCTGCTGAACGTGGGCCCGTCGCGCGAGGGCTGGGTGGCGCCCGTGTTCCAGCGCTCGCTGCTGGCGCTGGGCGAGTGGCTGCGCGTCAACGGGGAAGCCGTCTATGGCTCGCGGCCCTGGCGAGCGCAGAACGACAGCTCCACGCCGGGGGTTTGGTGAGCGCCGTCGCCTCGCCGCCGCCACTCGCCACTTCGACTCTCGCCGCTCAGCCCCCCTCGCCTCCGGCAAGACGCTGTGGCCTCTGCTCCTGTCGCTCACCGCTCACGCTCACTCATCATCCCTTCCTCACCACTCGCTCACCCCTTGGGTAGCATTCAGAGCCGGTCTCCTCTCCCCTCACTGGTCGGTGGCCTACGGACCCAGCGATTCTCGCTCGCCATGTGTCATGCCGGCGTTCTTAATAGGCGCTACTCGCTAACAGCTCTTGCCCCAACGGCCCGTCAAAGGCTACTATACGGGGGGATCTTTTGTGTTTGTGCGCTGGGTACCTGGTTGCAGGTACATGCAGAAGGGCGGCGCCGTGTACGCCGGCGTGCTCACCTGGCCCAAGGACAACGTGCTGGTCCTCGCGTCCGTGAAGGCCACGCCCGACACACAGGTAACGACCTCCGCAGGTCGCGGTCAGGGTCATGGTCGGGTCGCGGTCAGGTCGGGGTCAAGGTCAGGGTCAGGTCGCCACGTATCAGGCTTGGGTGACATTCAGAGCATTTAATCAAATCAAATATTACAACGTACTTTGTGGTGCATGATTCGCTCTGCTTTAAAATGTGGATCTTCCCCGACCTCCTGCCACCTGAAGGCAGGAAACCCCTGACAAGCCACGCCCAGAGGGACAGTTTACTTTGTTTGCATGTGTCAGGTGGTGGGAGGGCACAACGACACAAATCTGGCTGAAGTATTAGTCGGGCCTAATTGCGTGTCTGCGTGTCCGTGTGTCTGTTCGTCCGTGTGTCTACTCGTCCGTGTGTCCACGCTACAAACCCTCCGACCGCTCGAGTTCGATTCCCGCTTCCGGCCACCAACACACAGGTGACGATTATCTGAACCAGTCCTGGGCCTGGTCGCTTCAAACATCGGCACTGGGGGGGAGACAAAGGCGGCCGGGCATGGTGCCGGCCATCCCTCCCCCTTCGTGTGCCGTGCCTTCGTAGGTGCTGCTCGCTACTGACAGCACTTGCCCCAACAGTCCGTGAAGGCTATACGGTGGGGGATCTTTGTCTTTGTGCGTGCGGTCACAAGGTGTCGCTGCTGGGGTACTCGGATGACCTGAAGTGGAGCTCAAAGGGCGCCCTCGAGGTTTGGCTGCCCCCCGTCGCTCCGTCCGCGGGGCCCTCGGCCCTCGCCTGGGTGCTGCGCCTGCTCAACGTCGAATAGATCTTCACACCGGCGGAATCGGCGAGATTCTGCGCGAGAATTAATTCAACGCACACCTGATTTGTGACACTTGACGGGTGGGGGGGGAGGGGTGGGGGGCGCGTCTGTCAACATCTGTGGCCGCCGTCGTCGTCGTCACAGTCGTCTCTGCTCCCCCATGTTCCTCCCAATCGGCTGCTGCCCTTGGGCGGTGCCGATGCCAGAGCCGGATTATCACAGTAGCCACACGTGTAGCCACACGTGTAGCCACACGTGTAGCCACACGTGTAGCCACACGTGTGGCCACACCTGTGGCTACATGTGTAGCTACATGTGGGACCCGCACTTTCAAGGGCCCCGTGCTAAATGCTTTCAAGCTATAAATTCCGGTTCAGTGATTTTGCACTTGCTCTATTACTATAGTACTATACCGTCTTCAACTTTTGTGAACAACTCGCTGTTTAAGGTTAGGTATTTGTCGTATTATCTGGCTGTACAGCAAATTAAAAAATACAATTACTTTACTATGCAAGTTCAACATTTATGTTTCAATATTTTTTTATTTAGGGCCCCGTTATAACATCTGCTACGGGCCCCGCACTAGCCGATGCCCGGTTAGAATCTTGGGAGAAGTCTGTCGGGTTCGTGATGATTTTCGAGCGTTCCGCATGAAGACGGAAGCACGTGCGATTCTGGAGCCAATAAATAATTTACACTTTTCACGTGTGTGCGTGTGTGTTAGCGATTGGTGCTCGCTAACATCGCTTGCCCCAACGGTCTGTCAAGGCTACGTGGAGGATCCTTGTTTGTTTCGTGTGTTCGTGGGGGAGCGTTGGTCGGCAGCCGAGGCACAGCGGGTCGCACACGAGGAAACGAATCCCGCTCGCGGCCAACACCAGTGACGTGGTTCTAAAGCGGTCATCGCCCGACTCGGACTCATGAGCACCAAGCACAGTGTGCAAGCATAACCACTGGGGAGACAAAGGCGGCTGGGCAGGGTGTTGGCCACCCACCCTCTCGGTGCCGGCCTTAATAGGTGCTCGCAAACAGCACTTAACCCTGCAGTCTGGTAAAGACTATGGGGGGGGGGAGGGGGTTGATCTTTGTGAGGCTGCATGGGGTAGTGGTGGTGTCGTGGCGAGCGAACGGGACTTACAAACCCAGCGAGTTGAATACCCGGCCATGAGTAACTTCAGCAGAGGTGGGCAATCTAGCTCAGGCCCTTCTGCAAGCAATTGCAGGGCTGCGCATTTATATATATTTTACGACCTCGTTCGAGACCCAAACATTTCAACCTCCTGGCTTGGACGTTCCTCCTCCTCGAAGACACCGGTGGTGATGCAACCATCAACTGCAAACTTTAAGACACGAGCCACCCAAACTGTGGACCGCACAGCAAACTCACGGAGGTCCGAGCCCCTTCGACGGACGAGGAGGGATGAGGGAGGGAAAAGCGAGGCGAACGAACTCTGCCCAAGTCTTCTGCTCGTGGCGAGCAGCGGGACCACTGGTCGCGTTGTCGCTCGGCTCAGAGGGCAACGTCGCTGCCGCCACGCGCAAGGAGAGGAAGCAGCCACGAGGTGGCGCCAGGCTGCGACTTTTACCAAAGTGAGCTGGGGGGGGGGGGGATTCATGACACGGTAGCGGCTGTTAACCGTCGTATATTTAAAACTAAATATTACGTAATGAATTATTTATCCGGGAAAGCCACACTGAGTTCGTACGAGTCTTCTCCTGCTACATTGAGTTGTTTGTTTATTCCGTTAAGATGTTCTCAGCCAATTTATGCGGAGTTTGTTATCGTGGGGAGGAAACGGGAATACCTGGAGAAAACCCACACCTTGCGCGAGGGAGCAACGCTCTATCCCCGTGTAGATGTCGTCAACAGATGGCGATTAAATTTTGATTTAAAGCTTTCGTGACTGCAGGGATTCATATTCTTGGTTCTTTCGGTAAAGTCACGTAGAAGGGAAACAATACAATAAAATAAAAATATATAAAACAACTAAATTCTCACTTTATATTTTTATTTTATATTTTTTATTATTTTATTGTTTCCCTTCTACGTGACTTTACCGAAAGAAACAAGAATATAGATGACGATGAGTCCACTCGCTGTACCGCCTTCTCCTGGCGAGCCAGGGTATGGCACCTCTACGCCCACGGGAAGGGAGTTTCGCACCATCTGTGTGTGTGCGGTGATCCACCAGCCTCTCGCTGCCCCCTCGACAGTGCTGGATCACAGGCGCTAGCCACGTGCAGCAGCAGCAGCACAGCCACCACCGCCCGGCTACATAAAGTGTCCCGCGTAGCCGAATGGACTCATGAGAGGCGAGTGCTGTTGGCGAGCGGCCTGTTGAGGGTTAGGCACGTTGCACTGTGGGATTGAGTGCAGTGATTGGTGACGGGCGGTTGAAAAACCCGGATCTGAACCGAGGTTCTCAGCGGTGTCGGCTCGGCGTGCAACTGGGGACCACCCCAAGGCGCCACCGCGCGCTGTCTTCATCCCGCGTCACGATCATGGCCAGAGGCGTTGACGGCACCACCACCGCCACCACCACCACCGCCATCCCCACCACCGTCACCACCGCCACCACCACCGCCACCACCACCGTCACCGCCGCACGCAACTCCCCAATCTCCTTCACCCCTCCGCCAGATCTTGACATCTGCTGCGCGTCTTCTTGGTTCTTTCGGTAAAGTCACGTAGAATGGAAGACAGAGTCTGTCTTCTCGACAGACCAGTTCTACACCTGAGGACGGCTGCTTGCGTTGTGGCCGAAACGTCGTGAGAATTGTATTTTATAATGTTTTATTTATTATTATTTTATTATTTCCATTCTACGTGACTTTACCGAAAGAACCAAGAAGATGAATCCCTGCATTCACGAAAGCTTTAAATCGAAATCTGCTGCGCGGTTGACCACTCGACCTGCGTTCCCAACACGGTCTCCCACCATGTGCTCCGAGAGTCCCTTTAAATAGTCCCCACAGCCCACTTCGCCTCGGTCCAGGCTGGCCTCGTGGGGACCATCGCACCCAGCTGATCGTGGTGATCATGCCGTGGCCGATCGTGCGTGCCGTGATGACACGCACGATCTGCGTTGATGGCGAGCGGCCAGGTGAGTGGAGTGCAGGAGGAGGAGGAGGGGGAGGATCGTGAGTGACACACACGGGCCCTGCTCGCGCTGGAGATTGCGGCGCTCCGCCTGTCCGGGGTTTGATGTGCGCGTGTGTTGGGGGAGCGGTGGCGCAGTGGTTAGCGCGACGCGCTACGAACACGCCGTCCCGAGTTCGATTCCCTCGCCCACGATCAACACGAGCGATGAATGTCTGAACCGGTGCGGGGCCTCCCCCTAGGCATCTGTATGGTGTGTCAACTAGGAAGACGGAGGCGACCGCGCGTGATGCAGGCCACCCATCTCCTCGTGTGCCCCCATAGGTGTTCGTTCACGGTACTTTCCAGAAGAGTTTGTTAAGGCTACACGGGGGATCTTTGACTTGTGTGGGGAGCGGTGGCGTAGTGGTCAGCGCAATGAGCTACGACCCCGGCATCTCGACTTCCCGCTCACGGTCAACGCCAGCGATGGATACTTCAACCGGGTTGGGGCCTCCCCCAGGTCGACTCAACCTCAAATGAGTACCTGGTGCGGTGCGTCAAAACATCGCCACTGGGGAAGACAAAGACGGCCCGCGTGACGCGAGCGACACCACCAAAACCCGTGCGCCGTGCCGGCCTTCTTCATGGAAGCTCGCTTACAGCACCTTCCCTAACAGCCTGCGAGGCTGTAGAGGGGATCTTTGTCTTTGTTCTCCGTGTGTGTGTGTGTCGGTACGTGTGTGTGTGTCGGTACGTGTGTGTGTCGGTACGTGTGTGTGTGTGTCGGTACGTTTGTGTGTCGGTACGTGTGTGTGTGTGTGTGTGTCTGTACGTGTGTGTGTGTCTGTGTGTATCGGTACGTGTGTGTGTGTCGGTACGTGTGTGTGTGCGACATAAGTTCGACATACACCGATACAGAGAGCACCACGTCTCGGATCATCCCCCTCTCCTTCCCCTCGCTTGCCCCGCGTCTTGACGAGTTTAGGCCGGCGTTCAAGTACATGGCTGGGTTTTGTTTGTATGTATTCTGAACTTCTTTCGCACCGTACTTACGTAGTGTAGCGCATCGTGTAGTTTGTATGTTGAACTTCTCTCGCACCGTACGTAGCCAACCGTGCTCATCGGGAGGTACAGGGGAAGGGCAACAAACTCGACACGAGAAGCAGTTCTCAAGAGAGAGCTCCAGTGGCTTTCAGCAACCACATCTGATGATGATGGCGCGGCTTTTTAAATCATTTATATTAAGTTCGCTTGCTTGCTTGCGTGCTTGCGTGCTTGCTTGCTTGCTTACGACCGTGCAAATCTTTCGGTCGTTTTTTAACCCACTTCCCGTGATCCAATCGAGCTGACATTTTGCACACAGACTCGTTGTGCGTGACAATTAATTTTCGTGAAAATGTTTTTCCCAAAATTTTACACTGTTTAGGGGAACATTTTTAAATATTTAATTACCAATTGCTTAATGCTGCCAGACAATCATCTGACCCATAGGTGGCAGCCATCTCAAGCCAGAGGACGAGAGGACTCTAGCCGCCACGCATATAAAGGATTTATAGTGAAAAACTTAGTATTTACGGGTTAATTTTTTAAATCCTTTATATTATGTTCGCTTGCTTGCTTGCTTGCGTGCTTGCGTGCTTGCTTGCTTGCTTACGACCGTGCAAATCTTTCGGTCGTTTTTTAACCCACTTCCCGTGATCCAATCGAGCTGACATTTTGTGCACAGACTCGTTGTGCGAGACAATTAATGTTCGTGAAAAAATTCAAAATTTTACACTGTTTAGGGAAAACAAATTAAATATTTAATTACCAATTGCTTAATACTGGCAGACAATCATCTGACCCATAGGTGGCAGCCATCTCAAGCCAGAGGACGAGAGGACTCTAGCCGCCACGCATATAAAGGATTTATAGTGAAAAACTTTGCTTTTACGGGTTATACTTATTAACTCAGTACATTTACCACCAACACCACCACCACCTGCAGCACTACCACCACCACCACCCCCACCACCACCACCCTCACCCCCACCACCACCAACCCCACCACCACCACCACCCCTACCCCCACCACAACCACCACCACCCCCACCACCCCCACCACCACCACCACCACCCCCACCACCACCACCACCCCCACCACCAATACTTCCACCGCAGGGCTGCCCAGAGATTCCTCCAGCCAACAAACAGGGCCCTCGGTGTGTGAGCCTCTTGTGTGTGATGCCCCGGCGCCATGAAATCCAGAGCGGAATGAACCGTGCAGCCGACAGCAGGAACTGGCGAGCTTGGGAAACTTAAAATCCGTGCTCTGCCAACTGCAACACCACCGCCACAACCACCACCACCGCCACAACCACCACCACAACCAATACTATAAACAACACCGCCACCACCAGCACATAACCAGCGACGCAAACAGCTCCACGCCACTGCCAACACCGCCACCACCGCCGCCACCACCACCACCACCACTAACCACCACCACCATCAATCACCAGCAGCAGCAGCAGCACAACGACCCCGGCTGTAGAGCCGTCCCGTGTGTTGGTGCAGTCATCGCTCGGCTTTGTCTTTGTCGATTTCTTTAATTTAACTTTCATTAGCGTGACCTTCCACG